ACTGAGGTTTGCCCTCAAAACTGTGCTGCTCCCTTCTCCCTGAGAACAAAATGTAATATCAGTTCTCGTCCCCATAAAGTAACATGAAATTATTAATATTATTAAATTCTGTACCTAATGTTAACATTACACCTAAACCAGATATTTTTCTAATATTGATTGATGTTTTTTTAGTGACCATAATTATATGTTCCCATTCACAAATTAAAATTCTTCAATGTTTGCATATTTTCATGTTGCTGTATCCAATCAAAATAGGATTTAAATACAACATCTCCCCTGAAAGACCTTCTGTATTTACTGTAAGTGTCAGCCCACAACCACGCCAATGACACCGTTAAATTGTTGTGCTGGTGTTGTTTCATGTTAGGTTGGAAAGTTTGGGTTGATCTTTTTCCACTGTGGTAGTAACATGAGACCCAACAGGCCAATCAGATTGCTCTGAAATGGTTCCCTCCCATTTGATACGATGACATTAAGGCAAAGCATCTTAAATCGCAACGAAACCTTCTGCAGTGGAGAAATACAAAATGCTTATCGGATTTTATTTACTGCTGATGCTCTCAGTTGGACGTAAGTATTTGTAGAAAGATCAGATTCTTTACAGATATGTTTCATGAATATTATCATCTTCTGATTGTAATAGAGGAGGTAAAGACATTTTTATTGTTTATTTTTCAGGATCCACAGATGATCAGACCTTTGTGACAACAACTGCTAGAGTTGGAGAAAATGTGACTCTAACATGTTCCCATGACAAATCAAAACAGGCTTATGCCCTTTTCTGGATCAGGCTTGTTGCTGGAAACTTACCTGAGTTCTTTGGGAAAACATATAACTTCAAATATAATGATGAAAACCGGATTTCTCGCATTCAAACAAAACATGAGCCTGGAACATTTGTTCTTCAAATCACAGAAACAACACAAAGTGATACTGCATTTTACTACTGTTTTAAATCACAGAAATGTAACATTGCTTTTTTGAAAGGAATCTTTCTGAGAATTGAAGGTAAATAACAGTTTTTATCCAGTATTATACAGTTATACTTAGTTATTTATTTTAACTTCATGTGAATATGTATTTTTGAGCTTAATATTTTGCCTATAATCCATTTATGTTTTTATAAATAATATTAAAATTGTATCTTAACTGTCCCAGAACCAGAACCTGACATCACTGCTGTCATTCAACACTCTCCATCTGATCCGGTCCGTCCAGGAGACTCAGTGACTCTGCAGTGTTCAGTCCTCTCTGACTCTAAGAAGAAAACATGTCCAGAACAACAACACAGTGTGTTCTGGTTCAAAGTTGGATCAGATCAATCTCATCCCAGTTTAGTTTATTCTCAAACTAACAGTGGAGATGAATGTGAGAAGAGTCCTGAGGCTCAATCTCCTCACAGTTGTGTCTACAGCTTCCTCAAGGACAACGTCAGCTCGTCTGATGCTGGGACTTATTACTGCGCTCTGGCTGCTTGTGGAAAGGTAGTTTTTGGAAATGGAACAAAACTGGACATTGAAGGTAAGTGTGCCATATTTTTATATAATGGAGAGATTATTGACTTTTCTGAAACTACAACTTCATTTTGCTGCTTATTTATTTCTTTATTTTGTTGTTTCAGGTGTCAACACACATGATTCACAGAAAGTCGACACATTTCTCTTTGTGTTATGTGCTGCTTTGGCTACAAGTCTGATTGTTATTGTCTTCCTTGTTTGTGCCATCAGGAAAAATTCTTGCAAAGGTGAGAGTAGTTACTCATCTTTTAAACTTTGCATTGCACAAGCTCACTTCATTTAATGCATTTAATTTTAATGCAGTTTTCATTTAAATTTAAAGTGTTAGTGCAAAGGCAACTCCACGTTTAGTTAAGAACAAATTTATTTAGCCCCTGCCATGTTCAACTACACCGTGATTCCCCGCCGGCAACCTAGTTATTCACCCCCCCTATAACATGTGCAACAGGGGTACTGGAGCCCCCTAGTGGAATGGCATGCAACATGTACATACAACAAAAGAATAACATAAAGTATCATTAATATTAAACATTGTAAAATTCTTCATATTTTTTTTATATTGCGCAGCTTCTGTTGCTCTTCAACCAAATGCTGAGACAGTCAGTGACCTCCAGCAAAATCAGCAGGTAAGAAATTCAGAGATGCAGCTGGAAAAGTCAACAGCAATACTTACCTGTTTCCATGTCCATGATTAAAGTTCTTTCTCTTGTTTTCACCTTTGCCCCTCAGAGAAATCAGGA